TGATGACTAAAACAATTGAGAATTCTGGTTTAGCATTAGTTTGAATATTAATAGGCATTTTAGTTGTTGTCCGAATACCAATTTGAAATAGCTTTTTATTTGGCCAAAAAGTTGTGCAAATTAATTTGTTTTGAAGTTACTAGTAAGTAGTAGAATAAAAGTTTTTTCTACAGTGGCAAGACAAGAATCATTTAATTCACATTATTAATAAAATTGAATGAGTTTTTAATTGGCAAATTGTAATTATAAGTTGCTCACAATAAAAACTAACAATATTTTTTTAAAGAAATAGTAGCTAAACCTAGCTAAGCCTAGTATGTTTCCGTAGGAAATCTTTTGTAAAGTAATAAAGATTTGATTGTTTGTTTGTTTGCATAAAATTACCAGTAGTTTGATGCAAACGAGCGAAATCGCAGTAAAACAGCTAGTTTGGTATAAAAAGAGTCAAGCTCGTATAACAATGAAACTTTCTAAAAAAATTTCGAGTTAATTTGTTATTTTACTTTCGAATAATCAAATAACGTCTGATAATTTTATGCTATTTTGTAAGTTACAGTCTATTGTGGTCTTCATTATTTCATATAACATAAAATGTATGGATTAAAAGCTAATATTATTAAAAGTAGTTAGCCTAATAGCTCAATATAATAATAGCTACAAGTTGATGCATTTAACCATTGCTATTACCAAAAAGGACACAGTAATTTTAGTTCACATTGATAATCTTCCAGTACACGTTGTGTTATTATAAATAACACGACTCAATTCCGTGTACAAAAAGTAACCGAGGCCTACACGGAATTCATTGCCGTGATAAAATATTGACAGTGTCCATGTAACAGACTCTATAAAAATGAGACGTCAAGTAAATTTGTTCGATAAACATTGTACTATTTACTTATCAGAATGTGCTGTGTACGTTTTTATTTATTTTCTATGTAAAATTTACTTTGACGTTTTAGACTTCTTCGTTTATAATAGGGATGATGACTAGGTAAAAAAAAATGCAATTCTATTTAGTCCGTCAGTCAGATAATAGAAAAATATTAGATACATATTTTTTTTTACTTCAATTTAACAAGAAATAGTTTAGATAACAGGCATTACAGTTGAGGAGTGGGGCTCGCTACGTCACAGTTGAGTAGAAAATATACTCTAACGTGACGTCATGCGAAATTTGAACTGAATGTAACGCCGTAATTTTATGATTACTAAAAAAAATAAAAAAATACGTGTTTAATATTTTTTAACACTATCTGACGGACAAACAAACAAAAATTAGTCATCATCCCTATTGTCGAATATTGATATAAATGAATAGATATCTGAGAATATTGCATATGCAGCCAGAAACTTTATCTTGAATAAAGGTTACGCCTGTATCTGCATTTTTTCTATCTATATCTTCACGTGATATCCCGTAGGCAGAAAGAATTGAATGCCTCAATGTACGGTCCTTACATCTTTTGCCTCATCTACTTTCATTACTTTGTTCATATATCATCATTGGCCCTATTTACGTCCCCACTGCAAGGGCTCAGTCCTTCATTATAGATGGTTCAGGAGGATACTACAATGCCTACGCCCAGCTGATGATATGATGACGTTTTGGACCAATGTAATAACTAGCTGTAATTCGCGGCTTCGCTTATGTGATCCAAGGATGCTATGTCCACACTGACAGCTATACTGGCGACAAAAGCTAATTTTTATATCGTCATCATAAGCTTATCAACGCCATGACTGAGGCATAGGCCTGCCCAAAAGAACTAAACTAAATTAAAATATTACACAAACACTTGAAGTAGTTTAAAAAACGAATATTGGATATTTACCATCATAAAAAAAACAAAACATCAGCTCCTTTAATTATATTCCAGAATAAGGAAAATAATAATCTATCTAAAGAAAATACCACGCTTCATTGTTTACAAAAGCGGAGCAGTCTAGTTTATTTTTTTCTTAAAATAAACCACTCGTATAGCGGCACATTGACATCAGTAAACTTTTCCATGTTAAATAAACCGATGTCTCGTTAAAATGTGTTTTTTATTAACACATAAACAAGTTTAAGTCGCAATGGTATTCCGCGCTAAACTAAAATCCTTAAATTTGTGATCTATACCGAAATATACATATAAGGCGGAAGATTATTATGTGCCAGGACTTCGTCACAGAATACACAGAAGGTAATCGAATGTATGTAGGTACTTTATTTTTCATACCTTCACTAGGCGGTCGCACTAAGGTTGTCAACAACAACAGCTATCAATATATATATTTGAAATATGTTATTTATAGCCCTTTTATTTGATACCCTACACGGAATTATTGAATTAAATATTTTTTTTATGTTTCTCACTTTAATCTCTTACTACTTACGTATATGAAACAACAAATAGTTTAAAAAACGATATTTCTCCATTAATGTTGAATATAAATAACCGTCCACTGAATAGTTCTACTATCACTTTTTGATTCGTTTTATTTCTTTAAATACCCACAGTCGCATGACTGGTCTGGAACGGTTCAACATATCATGTCCATGAGCGTTGTCTATGTGTATCGCACTTTTTATGTAGATTGTATTCTCTTATACATAGCGGTATATAGTAGTTTAAGATCCTAGAAAGGTAATATATTTTATTCCAACACTTAAAAACACGAAAATGGTAACGCTTTTGATTGTCTTTATGGATTTTCGTTTTTTGTAAACACACCCGTTTCGAATTTGCGTTTTTGTATAAAAAATAAACAATTTAATTACTTGCACATATATCCTATCATATCATGCACTAAAATCTCTGAAAAAGTTAAATAGTTTCCTATTTAGCTAGAACAAGCTAAGCAATCGAGCTGCTTTTATAGAGTCTTAAAAAAGTAAAACAGCTGTTTTAAGGCCATCCAAAGGTCCAGAGCAAGCACACAATCCAAACAGCTCCAGGTAAGAAATAAAAGAAGGAATATTTTTAGTGAGCTTACGGCACCTTCAAATCACGTGGTAAGAAGCGCAAATCATAGCTGTTTTATATATATGGCATAGAATCTTATTAATATTATAAAGGTAAAAAATTATAAGGTTTGAATATTTATTCTTTCGTCACGCAAAAACTGAACTGATATTTTGTAAACATAGAAAATTGAGCGTAACATGAATATTCTTTAGTTTTCGTAAAACATGTGATAAGTTTTTCAAGGCTTCTATTATCAATTTTTACAAGTAATTTAGTAATTTAATAATTAAACATTCAATATTTAAAAATTAAATATACAATGTTTTATATTACAATAAGAACTATGATTTTTGTCTTGAGAATAAAAAAAAATGTTTGCGTCTTTGATGCTATTATTCATATTATTCACTTCTAAACATATATAATTAAGTAAGGTAAATAAACGTCAAGCTTAGTTGAACGAAATACAAACAATCTAAGTAAACACGAACATCGGTAAACGAAGTTTAAACTAACAAAACAATAGTAAGAGTCGGGTAAACTTAAACCAGCTCCGTAATACGAAAGCGATTGAGACAACCAAAGTAAACCATTCACAATGCAATACTAAAAAATTTTCGACTTTGACGATATCCGTGGCCGAGTGACACTCACGCCGGTTTCAAGGTGCCGCCATCTGTGGTCCCGGGTTCGATTCCCAGTTTTATTACGGCAGAAATTTAACTTTTCTGTATTGTTTCTAGTCTGGGTTTTGTGTTACTTCCGTTGTTTCAAACTGACATGATATAAGTGCCTCAGCTACTTAATTTGGGATCTGAGCTATGTATGTGATGTCATAGAATACTTATTTATACATTTTAAGTATACCTACTACTCATAAATGTTTTTAATGAAAATTATTATAAAAGAAAATGATAAGTTTGTAGCAGAGGTTTCCAAAAGCTTTTGTTCTCGCAGATTTATTTATTTACGGTAAATTTTAAATCCCCCCTTGTTTCTTCTTTTCGTGTAGCAGGGGAGTACTTAATGTACTGATTGCAATTATACATAAAAAAAAAATCACAAAATGATATACGAATCCCTTATTTACGACATATTTTTATAGTCCGATATTCAATATTAAAAGACAACTTTATATCTTAAGGCCAAATTAAAACCTCATTTTTTAAACAGAGCACTGAGTGTACATTTATTATTTGACTAAAATACTTTACCTACGCGTTATCGAAACCACAACATTATTGAGTGACACGTATAATCAGGATATCAGAATAGTCAAATAGATGAATTAAGATTGGTTAAATTCAAATAATAAAATAATTTATTGCACTTGATGTCACTAATTGCGTTAAATAGTGACAAGTTATTAACCTGCAAATAGGGCAAAAATCTGTTCCTTCAATCGATTCATCAGGTTTGCGCGAGATGTCAACCTTCTTGTTTACTATGCCATGATTTTATTTCTCTATCACATGGGCGTTGTAACTAATACTAATTCATAATTATAAAAAAAAGTGTTGACACAATTATTTGTTATCTTATCGACTATTTTGCTCTAATTCTATTTTTTAAAAACGTAATTTGGGACGGGGCAGTATGAAGATCGTCATATGGAACGTTTTTTTGTACGTCCGGAGATTTTTTTTTAAGTATTTAGCTGAATTGTTGCCAGATAAAAAAAAACTGATTTTTCTCAACATTTTGAGTTTTTAGGAAACGCTCTTTAATGCAAATATTTCACTTTTGAATTTTTATCATAAACACCATCGGGACTTGATTTTAACCGATTTGGCAACCTCGGAGCTTTATGGCATGTATGGAGCTATTGCGTATCTTACACTAATTACGCAGACAAACTGGTAAAATAAAATTTATTTTTTGAGAATACTTTTTCTTCCATCTTCCCCATAGTGTGAGCCATCGTTGGATAGGTCTTTCAAAAGTCTGTTTTCCAAAGATTTATTTAAGTGAATGTGTGAACATCAGTAAATAATTAAAATTAGATTTAAAGTTATTGAAAAATATATAAATTCAAATCCGACTTACCACTGTTCCTTTGCATAAAACTTCGGTATGAATCCACGATTGACATTTCGAATGTTGTGTTACCACCTGGAAAGAAAACAAAGAAGTAATTTTAATAATTAAAAAAAAAAATAATACACAGTAAATTGATCTTGTTAAAGTAAAATATCGTAACCTGCCGTAATAACCAAATTAGGTTGTCGGATTTTTCGTTGAACTTTATGAAATTTATGTATTTTTTTTCTGCCAATAGATGGCAGTGTTTTCTATTGATTTGATCTTCTAAAGCAACTTTTATTTCCGATTTCTAGTAACTGTTCATCATCATGTAATAAATAACTGTTAGTGTATTAAATATCCAAATGCTCTGTACAATAAACTTTTCAAAATATCTTTAAAGTTTATTCTAAAAAGAGATTAGATTTTTTCCTACAAAATTAAATAAACAAATAAAGGAATGTTAAAGTAAAAAACTGAAGAAATATAACATAATTAGCGGGTAACATGTGGTGGTTTTAAATGGTTATAAAAATTAAAAATATGGATATTAATATTTGTACAAAAAAATATCAAATTCATGTAATAGAACTGCAAAAACCTTAACTGGTGGTCAAATACAAGGAAGATTGTGAACAAAATAAAAAAAAAAACAAATTGACTAATTAAAAATGTAAAACCTTCAACACATTATTAATAATAAGTGAAGTAATCGTGCGAAATGCGAATTAATATATGCGACAAAAAAAAAAAAACAATAGCTTCTAATATCTTTTTAACGTTAATACTTGTTATTCTTGTTATATTATATTTTTGCACTGAAAATTTATAAATATCAAGAAGATTTATGAGATGAGATATGAATTGGTGGGGATAGCTCAGTAAATAACTGAGCTTACTGACCTAAAGTCATTGTATTATGGGATATCTGAGACAAAGAAGGTACCATAACATTCGGATCCGAGACAATATAGAAAAATCCTACTTCTACATTGACCTGATTGAATTGAACTCGGAACCTCAGAAATAGCAACACCTTAACTAACTAACCACTTGGTTGCGGAGTATAATTATATTTTTAGAATTACAATTGATAAAGACTTTTTTGATTTTATTTGATTTATTTTATCACTAGGTTTGTGCTTGCGGCTTCGCCCGCTTGGTCCTGTATTATATATGTATATATAAATCTTGCTCTTAAATGAATCTGTATCCGTTGTGCAGTTTAAAAGATATAAGCGTACAGACAACGGGAAGCGACATTGTTTTATACTATGTAAAGATTCCAATAGTTAAAAATAATTCACAACCGGCGGAATATTGGCGCCATTCCTTAGAATACTCTAAGCGCCATTATCATCTAACGTCATTCTCAAAGTGACAGTCATAGTTCAGTGACAGATAGTGATGCCCGTAATGCAATCGATAATTGCCCATGGAAGTCGATATTTTTTGTCTACCACATGTTCTTACGAAATAATGTTAAAACAAACACAAAACTAAAATTGGTTTTCTTATAGCAAATCTTTATTGTTCTATTTTTTTTTGTTTTTATCTATGTAATTGCTTGACCTCGAATTTGAATTTTTTTTTATCACATGTAAAAATTATATTACTAAGATCAAACCCCATCATCAAATAGTAGTTGATGATACTTTTTGATCTTAATCAAGACATTTATTTGCTTTTCGTGACTTTGATCATTTATGTTTATGATCATAATGCTCTATTGACATTTAAGTATTTTAAAACATGAAATCGTATCTAATTATTACACTATTTTGAACCATAGCTTCTGACTGTTTGTTCAAATACGATAAACTGGAAAAACACTGAGTAAATGGTCATGCAGTTCATTTAATAGACAGACGCATATACGAGGAATGTGTTCATGTATAATTCATTAAAGTTGTATGTAAAATGGGTAAAGTATTAAAATATTGATGAAAGTATCTGGAAAATCATACTGACCGGTAGTTCTATCTCGTAACTATTCATTATGTCTAGTATTTACGTATAACTACGTCAAACTCAAACTTTGTCATTCTAAAATTTTGATTTAGACATTAAACCTTTTTTTTTATTTTCAAAATGGCGAATAATTAAATCTATTAATACTAAAACCAACTATTGAACTTAACTGGAAATAGTTATGCGAGCTGTCGTTAAGTGCTTCTTATAAAAAACCAGCCAAGTGTAACAGACTCGCGCACAAGGCTCCGTACCGAAAACGAGCAAAAAATCATATTTGTTGTATTTGAGTACCCTTAAATATTAATTTTTATATAGTAATAGTAATACATCATCTGTAAAAATTTCAACTATCTAAATTTCACGGTTCAGATACAGCCTCGTGATAAACAGAGTAAGTTAGTTAGTAATAGGTTTCCCGTTTTACCATTTAGGTACAGAACTCCAAAAAGTGCATCAAACTTCAAAACCAATTTGTCAAACATATATCAAGAAAGTCTGGTGGTAGATCAGCTATGCCGTCAATAATTTTTGAAGAACAAGCTTTGATTGATATTTTTATCCTAGAATTAGTCTGTTTTGTAAAAAATATTGTTAAAAAGAAACATGCTTAATTGTCAAGTTGAATATTAACATAAATATCAAACTCCATGAACGAACACACAACAAACAAACCAAACTAATCATCCGCTATCATTCCACCATCATCATCATAGAACATTCATGGATGAATTAAACAAGCATGTCAAAATAAAATCAACCAATCGATTATTTAGAACAAAATAATCGATACGTTAACCTTTCATCGGATCAACTGCAGAACTGACAATAATCTTCTTAAATCGGTTGTGGTATCTTAGCTTTCAATTTTTTTATTTCTCAAGTATTCAATTCGTAATTTGAACGAATAAAATAAATATGTATGAAAGTATTCAAATATCGTATTTCATATAATATATTATATATAGATTTTATATTGAGTATATATTTGACGTTCATTCGCTCAGTCGGTACGCGTACGCATCATTAAATCACATATCTCACTTATTATTAGCAGTTAATGACGACAGATAATATTCTATAAAATATGTTTAAAAAACCTCGCGATTAATTTAGAATCGCTTCTGACATCGTTGATGTATGTGATCGATTTTTCAAAAACCATCCAAACTACAACCCTTTGACATATAGTGTTTAGTATAAGTGCTTTTGTTAAATTCTAAGTTAAGAAACTAAATTATTAAAAATGTTACGGATAGTTAAGTAAAGTCCTTCCCAAAAGCTAATAGAAATACAAAGTATAGATAATCAAACAGTTATATTAAAGCTATAAATTTCAAATTTCGATAATTTAGAATTTTCAGTTTTTAATATTCGATTTTAATAATATAATTGGCATAAAATACAATATCTAAAATACTTTCTTTGACTCAAGAATATTGCGAACTTGTTAGTTGAAACATTTTTTCTTCTTTTTCTGACCATTATATTCGATAAATAATGAGAAATAAATCGTTATTGTTTAATTATAAATATTACAGAGAGTAATTTACTTAATAACTCTATTAGCAATCTGCCGTACAACTTAATATAACACTAACGATTTCGAAGAACTTTGCCGCAGGAATCGGTACATACAAATAAAAATTACAATAATAAGGCTACGAATGTAAAATTTCGAATATAAATTAACGAAATTTGCATGTACAAATAAGATCTTACATAGTTAAAAATGATATTCCGTATCCACACTAATATAATGATTAAAAAGTGTGTGTCGTTTACTGGTTTGTACTTCGGTATCGATACGAATGTGAAAAGATAGTTAAGAGGTTGACCAGTACATATTAGAATATCTTTTACCTCAAAAAAACATATAAAATCTTCCATTCTTTATGATAGTAACAGTATTAATTTCTATTTATATAACAATAACCAACTATTTATATCCTGTATTTGTAAACAATTAATATTTTTTTAAATAATAAATAAAATATAATATAAAATCAAATATATATATTTACCTAACAATGTAGCGGTACAACTCCAAAATACTACACTCACAATTCAGAAGCTGGTAAGTACTTCACAGTGAAAATACCAAATAGGAACTGACTTAATTCAAACATTTTCGCTAAGAAATCAATTTAAATTGATTTCTTAATAAATTTGTTAATGATATAGTATACTCGTTTTCTTTCATTTGCGACCTGTTTAGCGATTAATGGTGTAGTTACAATACTTAGAATTCCTGTTCACTCGTCATGCTATGTAATTTTAATTCCTATATATTAATTGTGTGAATCAACATACATTTCTTACCCAATATTCACATGTCTATTGAGTATCAAATAAAATACATTATAATACCAAACTCTTTTTTAGTATTGGAAAATGCAATTAAACAAAATTGAAAATCCTTGCATTTTTTTAAACACTACACTGTATTAATAAAGCCTAATGAAATTGCTTTCAAACGGTTTTAACGAGTCTTTTAGAAAGTTGTTTTATTTTAAAGACTACTCGAAACATATGAATGATATATTTTTAAACAAACATACCTACTTTTTAAGTATTAACTGTATGTATGTTATACTTTTACGCGTAAGTTGCTGAAATTATTTACATGTTGTTATTGAGATTTAAAGAGAGCCTGTGAAAGACAAGGGATATAGTAGTCCTTAGAGTAAAGATAGAGTAGAGATAAAATTTTGCCTGGAAAATAATCATTTTTACTATCTTTAGTCGAGCTTAATTGCTCTATTTGCATTAGTCGATGCGGCAATTTCTGTGGACTTATTTCATTAATCGATTACATCATTACTGACCATTTAAAATAACGTGAACTGATATCGTCTGTACTTGCGGTTTTACCACCCAATGTAAACGCTTGTGGTTCGTTCGTTCGGGGAAAAAAGACTGCTAGAAGTAGGTACAACTTCTATGGAGATGAATCACGAGCCATAATAAGTACTTAATAAATTATTTCTAGTTCAAACAAAATCATGACATCTGAAGCGCCATATCCAATTATTATCCCATTAAGATAATTATTACTAAAATTATTCATTACTATAGTTAAAACCTGTCAAGCTAATTTAATTTGAATATTTGCAATT